AATTTAATTATATTGCGTTTAAATTGATTTCAAGACAATAGCTGAAATTGACTGGCACATGGTAGTTCTTTTGGAGTTTCCTAGACAGGCCTAAATCAGTAACTTTTGTCTAATTACAAATTCTTTTTTGTATTGAACATTTTGGATCAGCTAATTCCTAGACTAGGATTTATCTACAGTATTTTTGCTATGCTCTGCTGTAGTTACATTTATGTTTAATATTCCAATTTCATTTTTTACAGGTAGTGAATTAGTGTCTACACCAAAAAGAAAGAAGCAAGACCAAGGTCTGTACAGTATACTACCAAAGCTGTGGTTGCACTAGCATATATTATGTACTTGAATTTGATGTTTCCTAAAAAGAAAGGAATATGGAGTTTTCGCAAACTTACGAAAACAATAACAAATACGGTTACGTCATAAGATGTTTATTTTAACCCTTCCTCTACAGTAGCATATTTGTCACTACGTAGGCGATTCATCCCTTTTGCTTGAATCGAGGATCATACTTGCCTCACACAGTATATTTTCAAGAATGTTTTAGGCATGAACGAAGATAATAATGACATGTTCGTATTCGTCACCATTTTCATAAGTTTGTGAAACCTCCCTAATAAATGAAATGAAAAGGGGAGAGGATTTATTTATTTAATGCAAACTTAAAGTCAGAATTCTTGATAGGACCAGTCTGCAGATAGTAGTAAGCCTGACAAGATTTAATGGAATACAGGTATAGGTTGTTTGGCCCTTTTAGGATGGATCAACTTAGATTATTTGCCGGAATAAACTGGAATATGCTTTTTTAAATCCAGACAATAATGATTCTTTGTTTTAACAATTTTGAAATTATCTTGATAAAACAATGTAATACTGTATATTTTTGTAAAAAAAACATGATGATAAATTTGCTCTAGTTACAAAGAAAGCTAAAAGGCAAAGTTTTGTATTTTCATGTGAATGAATTTAACATTCTGAAATCATAAATGAAAACACCATTTTATATTTAAAAAAATAACCATTTATTCATGATGATGAAGATTATTTGCATGAAGGTATTAAGTAGTAACAATAATAATTACAACTTTATTTTTAAACTGAAAGAACTTGTATCACCATAATGGTGTTTTTTTTACAAGGCCATTTACAAGAAGATACAAATGAAATGAAAATATTAAAAATGAAATTGAAATACATAAACTGTAGAAAGAAAAGTAAAATTATAAATTATAAAAACTAAAAAGTGATGTCATGTTAAACTCAACTTATTTATAGTCTGTAGAAGTTTTCTCTTTTGTGCTTTTGCTGTATGTAGTTATGTTTATGTTCAAATTCCATTTTCCCTTTTCTTTATAGGCAGTGGAGATGCATCAACATCAAAAAGACAAATGGTTGACCAAGGTTTGTATTGTGAACTAAATAATAATTTACTATTGTTAAAGACAACTCGCACCAAAGCAACCACAACAAAGTGATGCGACAAGCACAGATTGACAGATATATCATCTCAGTTTCAAGCAGTCACAGTTTTTGATTCTACATTCGACTTTGATGTGCTGTACTTTGGTGAATGTGTTTTTACTGATGGAAAAGAATCATTTGTAAGAGCAGATCTACAGTACAGCAGTAGAAACAAGGCCCAGAAAAGAGCCATTCCTTTTGGCATTTAGAAGAATGTTTCTGTGACAAAAAATTAATGTAGGGGTGGCAAAAGTTAGGTGTTTGTGGCGGGGGAAGGAGCTGGGGAAGAAAAACAATTTTTCAGGGAGAAAAATAATTAGTAAACCCCCAGATTTTCTTAGTTTTTTGGGGTTTCGCCCCTTTTACCTCTCCCAAGATGCTTTGAGTGATGTTCGATCATACCCATTTACACTACTTCCTCCCCCTCCATGAATGACTGGAAATGTGAGCCAACCTGTTCCACCAGTCCAGAGTGATACATTAGCAGGAAAGATCAAAACCTAACTATAGCCGTAACTATTTTGATATGTTTTTAGATAAAATGATATTTGTATAAATTTTATCATATTGCCTTTAAATTAATTTCAAGACAATAGCTGAAATTAACTGGCACGTGGTACAGTAGTTCTTTTTGAATTGCCTAGACAGGCCTAAACCAGTAGCTTTTTTCTAATTACAAATTCTTTTTAGTATTGAATATTTTGGCTCAGCTAATTCCTAGACTAGGATTTATCTACAGTATTTTTTCTATACTCTACTCTAGTTACATTTATGTTTAATATTCCAATTGCATTTTTTACAGGTAGTGAATTAGTGTCTACATCAAAAAGAAAGAAGCAAGACCAAGGTTTGTACTGTATACTACCAAAGATGTGCTTACACTAGCATATATTATGTACTTGAATTTCCTAAATGAAAAGTATGGAGTTTTCGCAAGCTTACGAAAACAATAACAAATACGGTTACGTCATTAGATGTTTATTTTTAACCCTTCCTCTACAGTAGGATATCTGTCACAACGTCGGCTATTCACGTCTTTTGCATGAATCAAGGATCATATTCAGCTCCTACAGTATATTGTCAAGAATGTTTTAGGCACGAATGACGATAATAATAATGACAAGATTATTCGTTATTGTTTTCGCAAGTTGCTGAAACCTCCCTAATAAATGAAATGAAAAGGAGAGATGATTTTTTTTTAATTAATGCAAACTTAAAGTCAGAATTCTTGATAGGACCTGTCTGCAGATTGTAATAAGCCTCACAAGATTATGGAATACAGGTATAGGTTGTTTGGCCCTTTTAGGATGGACCAACCTAGATTATTGGCCAGAATAACCTGGAATATGCTTCTTTAAATTCAGACAATAATGATTCTTTGTTTTAACAATTTTGAAATTATCTTGATAAAACAATGTAATACTGTATATTTTTGTAAAAAAAATAATGATAAATTAGTTCTAGTTACAAAGAAAGCTAAAAGGCAAAGTAGACCTTTGTATTTTTATGTGAATTAACGTTTTGAAATCATAAATGAAAACACCATTTTATATTTTTAAAAAAAACATTTATTCATGATGATGAAGATTATTTGTATGAAGGTATTATTAACGTGGTAAAATGTGAATAGTAACAATAATAATAACAATTTTATTTTTAAACTGAAAGAACTTGTATCACCATAATTGTGCCATTTACAAGATGATACAAATGAAATGAAAATATCCAAAACCAAATTGAAATACATAAACTGTAGAAAGAAAAGTAAAATTCAAAATTATAATGACTAAAAACTGATGTCATGTTAAACTCAATTTATTTATAGTCTGTAGAATTTTTCTCTTTGTACTTTGCCCTATGTAGTTATGCTTATGTTCAAATTCCATTTTTCCTTTTCTTTATAGGTAGTGGAGATGCATCAACATCAAAAAGACAAATGGTTGACCAAGGTTTGTATTGTGAACTAAATAATAATTTACTATTGTTAAAGACAACTCGCACCAAAGCAACCACAACAAAGTGATGCGACAAGCACAGATTGATAGATATTTCATCTCAGTTTCAAGCAGTCACAGTTTTTGATTCTACATTCGACTTTGATGTGCTGTACGTTGGTGAATGTGTTTTTACTGATGGAAAAGAACCATTCTTAAGAACAGTTCTACAGTACAGCAGTAGAAACAAGGCCCAGAAAAGAGCCATTCTTTTTTGCATTTAGAAGAATGGTTTTTTGACAAAAAA